AGTTGTGTTTTTGGGAGTGGCTACAAACGTTGCAATGGTCACCTCACCCACAACTGCTGGATGTGGTGTGGTGCAGTGCAGTTGTGGTTGTAGCTGTAGCCTAGTGTAGTGGAGTTGTGTACTGTAGTGTAGTGTAATTAGTGTAGTTGTAGTTGTAGTTGTAGTTGCTGTTGTAGTTGTAGTTGTGGTGAGGTGTACTGAGTGTAGTGTAATGTAATGTAATGTAGTGTAGTGTCATGTAATGTAGTGTAGTGTAGTCTAGTGCAACGTAGTGTAGTGTAGTCTAGTGTAGTATAGTGTAAAGTAGTGTAGTTGCAGCTATAGTTTTAGTAATGTTGTAGTTGTAGTTGGTGTAGTGTAGCGCAGTGTGGTGTAGTGTAATCAGTGTAGTGTAGTGTAATGTAGTGTAGTTGTAGTTGTAGCTGTGGTTGTAGTGTAATTGTAGTGTAGCTGTAGTCGTAGTTGTAATTCTAGTTTAGTGTAGTGTAGTGTGATGTACTTAGCGTAGCGTGGTGTAATGTATAGTGTAGTTGTAGGGGTAGCTGTAGCGGTAATTAGTTGTAGTTGTGGTTGTAGTTTTAGTTGCAATGTGATTAGTGTATAATTGGTGAACTGTAGCGTAGTATATTTGCATTCGCATTTGTAGTTGTAGTGGTAGAGTAGTTGTAGTTATAGTTGCAGTTGTATAGCTGTCTATCTACCTACCTACCTACCTATCTATCTATCTATCTATATATCGATCGATATCTATCTATCAGTCTATCTATCAGTCTAGTCTATCTGTCTATCTGTCTACCTGAAAACGAAACAATCCTGCGAGACTTCCTCAATATTTGAATTTGACAACATAAAAAACGCAGCAATTCTGCGAGACTTCCTCAACTTTTGCACTTGACAACATCAAAAACGGAGCTATTCTGCGAGACTTCCTCAATTTTGGAAGTTGACAACATCAAAAACGGAACGAAGCAATTCTGCGAGACTTCCTTCAAAAATGGTAAGTTAAGTGCAGAGCTGACGGCCTCGTAGCAATGCGTTTTGCGATTTTTCCACTCCATCTGTTTAAACTACTGTGCCTGCCACAAAAAAATGATGCCAGGTCATACGAAGTGCTGCACCTGTCACGCAAAATCATCTCATCGAACCTACAGATCTGATGCTCCAAAATGCAACCCCTTTCCGGAAATCAGCGCCCGGACCTCCTAACATCTCTGATGATGCGCCTGCCACGCGACATGCATCTTGCCAGATCCTCTGCAAATGTCCCACGCCTGCCATCGTTTTTGGAAATGCTCCGTTTTTCTTTGGAGCCCATATGTTGTCCCAGAGCTCGCCCCGGTTCAGCTCAGCCCCTTCCGTGAACCTCAGAAAAGCGCAACACTCCGACACCGAAAATCAAAGGGAAGTTGAGACACAAAACTTTGAGGCGAGGAGCACCCTCTGTTTCGATGGCTCTGCTTGAGGTCGAAGAGAAAAGATGTAGTCTTCCTTTCTGACGAACACTGCAAGATCAATCCAAACAAAGCAACAGCACATGAGCCAAGAAGCAGCTTGAGTCACCACGAGATTCTCGACGAAGACGGGCAAAGAAGTGGCTATGGCCAGGGACCTGTGCCTCCCGCCATTGCACACGATGAGGCGTGTTTTGCCACCTCGTGAGGGAGGCAAGGTCACTGTTACAACCAGAGCTGACAATGCATGAAATCGAGCCAAAAATAAGTGCAATTGAGGCGCTGTTCTCCAGGATGCGCTTCACGTATCCGAAGAGCTTCGCCCACCTTGCATCGCACAAGGCGGGAAATGCAGAAGCATTGTGCTAAGTATAAACAAACAATCACTTTTGGATCATTGGACCAGCACACAGCACAATTTCCAAACATCAGAGAATGATGGTAAAACCAAGCAAGTATGATATGCGTTCTAGTTGGTAAGGTTGCATTTAAAGACCGTTTGACCGTTTGGTTGTATATATTTATATAGACCTGTGGCTGTCGGTCGGAATCCAGCCTGGCGGTGGAGCCTCCAGCTGAAATTCAAGAACCTAGACATTGAGAACATTGAAAATAATGTTATTGTTTGATAAACAAAAAAACAGCCTCCAACAGAAACTCCGCAACCCAGACGTTCAGTACTTAAAAAGAATTCTTTGAAGAACTGCAACAACACAGCACCTTGGATGTCTTTGGAGCTGCTGCAATGCTTGATGACTCCAGCAGAAAGACAAAAAGAGTTGAGTGAAGAGCTGCAACTACACAGCACCTTGGATGTCTTTGGAGCTGCTGCAACGCTTGATGCCTCCAGCACAAAGACAAAAATAATTGCTTGAAGAACTGCAGCAACACAGCACCTTGGCAGTCTCTGGAGCTGCTGCAACACGTGGTGCCTCCAGCAGAACTCAGACATCCGGAAGATAAAGAGAATGGTAAGCTGAAAACAAATCGGCTTGCTTTGATCTTACATACATTAAACTGGGAACAACACGGCACCTTGACTTCCTCTC